AGGCTGCATCCCCCCAGGGGGAGGTGATCAGAGAGCTGGCCACTGAGTTCATGTCAGAGACAGTCCCTGTTCCTATTACTAGGAAACCCACCTGGACACTGAGCTGCCATGGGTTACATCTGTGCATGGGTTCTAGGTTATCTCCATACATGGTCCTTGGAGGGAGTATCAGTCTCAGAAAAGATTTTATCTTATAGGGCTGGAAAGATGGCTCAACAGTTAAATACTTGTTGCTCTTTCAGAGGACCCAAGTTTAGGACCTAGCGGTCACATCAGGTAGCTAACAACTGCTTGAACTCAGTTTTTAGGGAAGCCAATAACCTCTACTGGTCTTCCTGGGCACCTGTACCCACATGATCTGCTTTGGTAATCATTAGGCTCTAATAGTAATGATGTTACTAAATGCTTTGAAAATATTAAATCCAAAAATGTAAGATACTCTGATCCTGTCTTCTGAGAAATATAACTATCCAAAAACAAAACAATACAAAACCCAAAATAAATCTATAGGCCCAGTTAAAGAAAGAAAAAAATTAGATCAGGTTAGTGGGTAAAAGGTAGATGAATCCTAATGAGACTTGATAGGCTGGGGTCACATGGGAGGGGAGGAGGGCTCCTCCTTTCTGAGGACAAGGAATTCGGGATGGGGAAGGAAGAGGGAGAAGATGCTTTTATAGATAGAAGTCAAATACTGAACTAAACCATTTCCATAGTGACTTCTGATGTGAGATGTTTATTTTGTAGATTTTTCAGTTACTATATCATAAAGTAGCTTTGTTAGTAGTATTTTACTAGAGTAACTAACTTTTTCTCTATTTAAACCAAGATAATTTATGCATTCATAATGTGTATAATCTTTAAAATATAAAGATCACAGATAACCCATACATCTTTAACTCAAATATTCATTAAAATAAGGTAATTGTACATACTACATATACATATTTTCTAGAATTTAACTTTTATATAATTCAATATATTCATAGTAGCTTTAGTTCCTGTGAGACAAAAACATGGTAAAATAACTTGTCCTTAGGATTTTCCATTTTAGGTGGTAAAAATACATTTGTGGGAAATAATACAACAAACAAGGATACCTGGAAGTTGAGTTAATTTTGTTTAAAGTACCACTGATATTTAGAATAGTACATTTACTTGAAGAAGCAATAATAGCATTTATGAATGTAAGAGTTAAAAAGTTAAATGTATTAGCATTAGAATTAAGTCATTGCATTTTATAATGATTAAACAACTAGCTTTATATTACAAAAACTGTAAGGAAAAATGTCAATATGGGCCTCGAAGATGAACCCGTTTTATTTTTGGCATGCATCATAGTGCTCCAAAGATAGTATACTAACTCTTATGTTGTCTCTTTATATGTCCTAATGAAGGATAAGATCATAAAATAATCTATTTAAAGACAAATCTTCACTAGGGAAAACACAAGAGTATAAAATTTTATCTGGTCAAGGTCATGTTATACTGATCCTGTCAGAAAAAGTTCAGTGTCTGTTTTTATGTTGTTGTAGTTTTTTTTTTTTTCCTTCCAAAAACCAGAAAGGAATACTTTTAGCAAAACTCCATTCAGGTATAAGCCAGAGGAGTGGTTTATGTAGTTCTGAACTTTTTTAAAACAATGTGTTTCGAAAGACTCACCATAAAGTATGTTCCAACTAGTACTAGTTGTTTTCTGTTTACAATGATCTGTGGTTCTATTTTTAACTACGTATCTGGGAGGGGGATGTGCATGTGAGTGTGGCCATCCTGGAACCCTGGAACTGAGTTACACAGTTGTGACCTACCATAGGTAGGGACTGGGGACTGAGTGGTCTTCTGCAAGATCAGCAAGTGCTCTTAACTGATGGGCCATGTCTTCAGGCCTGATCCATGGTGCTTTATAATGAAAAGTTAGAATGTTTTTAATTCATCAGAAATGAACATAAAAAATGTTTTAAATTAAAAGTGAAAGGGGATTAGTATTTAATATGAGAAAGTAAAGACAATATTTTGGGATAAAAATCAAATAATAGTTTTATTTTTGTCAACAAACTTTCCGTACAACTTTGTTATAGTATGAAGAATTCAAAAGCTTTGTATGGTGGCACATGCCCATAGTTTTATCACTTGGGAAGTTAAGGCATGAGGCTTTTAAGTTTGATACCATCTTGGGCTATATGGCAAATTCCAGACCAGTCTGAGCTAATTAGCAAGCCCACCTAAAAACAAAACAAAAAACTGAAATAACTCCTCACAGAGAAAAACTTAGCAATTCAGAATGACCACTACTTCCAGTTTCTTGGAACTATTATCTTAAAATTGTAATGTAGAGGTGGGCATGATGGTACATACCTGTAATTCCCAGCACTTGGAAGGCTGAAGTATTAGGATGGAGAGTTCAAGGCTAGCCTGGAGCACATAGAGAGCCTGGCCCCTCTCCTCACCCCAACATACAAAAAACAAATTGATTCTTTTCTTACTGTTTCATTTTTTGAGGCAGGGTCCTGCAATGTGTAACTAGAGATCCTCCTGCCTCTGCCATCTAGGTGCAAGGATTACAAATGTGTGCTAACATACCCACCTCTTAAGTACTTTTGCTATATACACCATGTTGTCTTAGAACCATGTAGATTAGGCCGCCCTCAAAGTCATGGCATTCTTCCTGCCTCGGCCTCCCAAGTGCTGGGATAATAGGTATATATCACTGCACCTGACTTCAAATACTCTTAAGTATAGATACCTACAAATGTTTTTTCTTTTTCTGGTCATGAACTGGGAAATGAATTCTGATTCAAAATTCATTCAAAAGTAGGTTTTCCAGAAACAAGATGAAATTTATTCAAATATTATATTCCTAAAACTTGTTAGTTTTATTAAAAAGATATACAAACAACATATACCCTTCTAGAGACACTAAGAAACAAAGAACCTTAGTACAGTATTTTGAAAATTTATTTACTAGGGTAGGAAATTGGTTTTTTTTTTTTTTTTTTTTTTTTTTTGGTTTTCATTTTTTTCAAAAGTGTATTTATTTAATAAGACTTTCTGACTTTAATGTTTCCTCACTTGGAATATCAGTGATAAAATGTGTGAAAATTCCATCCAGATCCTCTGTATTTCTTTGTTCTAGAAACACTTTTTAGAATGTTGTGCTTAAACATAGTTATTTTACCTATTGTGATAATGTTTTGGCCACTCTATTTGCCTTTGAGTGAGAGGTACTGGCTGGTAGAAGATACAAGGGAACCTTTAAGGAATGCAAGATATTTTACGCAGTCTGTTGGTAACTTGGATGTATATACAAATATACAATCTTACCTATCTCTAGTTGAATGTTAAGATTGTACACTTTATGTTATGTGTTACATCTCAAATGAAAAGGGTGGTGTTTGCAAGGTCCAATGAATCACATATATAATTTAAGTCAAGACATGGGGGGCGGGTGACCACGCGGATGGTATCTGATGATCCTAGCAAATGGACTTTAATCATTTTCAGTAGATTAACTGTATTCTGAAGCTAACGTAAGTTTTCAATGATGAGAAGTTATTAATGTTTTACTAAAAGTATCGAGAAGAATTCAGTATCTATAAATAGTGTTATGATAGCTTAAGCAACCAGATGATCCTCAAATAAATGACATCATTATAATAGGTTTATTTCATTTATAATTACACATGCTTTTAACTTTTGCTTCTTAAAGATTTTTTTTTTTTTGTGGCATTGTATGGCCTTCCATAGGATAGAGAATAAAAATAAGGTTCGGTTTTGCTACTTAACAATTGCTTTTAGTATGGTATATAGCTGAAATTATAATTGTGTTTTTAAAATGATGCATTCTGTTTTCCCGTTTACTAAGGGAGAAAAAAGTTGTTTTCTGTAGGAAATATAAAAAAAAATTATTCAAAAGTGCCCCTTTAAAAAAACTTTTCTTTGGAACTGTGTTAATTCTCATCACCTCCAAAAGCCTTTGAGAGGATTAGCTGCATAGACCAATACTGTTCTATATTAGTCAGTATTAAGTGTATGATGTCACCTTTTTTCTCCCCTCCTAGCTTTAATTTTGAGGGAAAGAAAGACTTTTCAGGGGCAAATCCGAGAACACTAAAGCGTAAATATCACTGATACACATGACTGACAACCTTATACCCCAAATCTGTCTGAAATGGGTCAAATACCTAAGCGCTGCAGAACAATGCAATCCAACCAGCAATTCCCCATAAAAGAGAAAGGGGGTGTGATTAGACTCCAGCTATTAAGCAAGTTGTTGAAAAAACAGTTCCGTGGTTTGTTTCTGCAACAGGCACAGGTTAAGCTTGTATCTTCTCTCCTAATTAGCTCTCCCCCAAAGGGCTACGCTGACAGGGACCGCCTAAATCGCCAAAGCAAGCAGCAACTGGGACAAACATAAGGGCTTTATGGATGGAGGTCCTTCGACGGTCCCGCAGCATTGGTTATTGATCGTTCACCCCGACCGGGAGCGATCGATCAGAATTTGTGTAAGGAGTATCGAGCCACAGTTAAGGAGATGCGGGGAAGGGGGGGATATAAGCTTCTAATAAAAGAAACGCAGCAACAATAGCGGAGGAACAGCGCTGCCTGGTGACGTAATGGCTGGCAGCGCTCCAGCCTCAGCAGCTCTACCTCAGCATCCAACCTCCCTCAACCCGGTCCAGCCCCGGCAGAGCTGCCGGGCTCTTACTTCTCACGATGCCGTTCTGTGGTCGCCACCAACGCCTTACGTGGAGGTCTGGGACAGCGAACAAAGGAAGTCCCACTGCCTTAAGTTGTCGGGACACGCACACTCTCTCACACTTCTCCAACCCCCTCAGGCACCGAGTCCATCAGCGGCTTAAGTTGAAGGAGAGGGAAAGAGCAGAGTGCCTCCTGTCCCCCGGCTGCTCCCCGGCCCGCCCCGAGCCCCCAGCCCCCGGCCGGCCGCCTCGGCAGGAGCGGCCCCCGGCGGCCCGCTCCCCCGCACGCCGGTGCTCCCGCCTTACCTCCGCCAGGTAGAGGTTGAGGAGACAGAGCGTGGAGAACTGGAGGCAGGAGGGGAAGCAGTAGAGCAGCCAGTGCGGGAAGAAGTGCAGGCGAGAGGGCGGCCGCAGCAGGGGCAGGGAGCCGCTGAGGGAGAAGGCGGCCGAGAAGAGCGTGGTCCTGAGCGCTGCCCACGCGAGACACAGGAAGAGGCAGAGGCTCTGGTGGCTGAGGCGCCGCTCGCGGTACAGGAGCAGCCGCCACAGCTGCAGGTAGGCAAAGGCGAAGAGCGCGGCGTAGAGCAGCGCGTGCAGCACGCTCAGCGCCAGCTGCACCGAGCCGGGCACCGCGGCGGCCCCGCCGGGCGTCGAGGGTTCGCGGCCGGCCGCCGGCCCCGGCGCTGACACCCTCATGAGGGAACTCGGGCGGCTGCGAGGGAGCGCGGGAAGGAAGCGGCCCGAGCGCCCCCCGGACCTCCCGCCAGCCCCAGCCTGCGGCCCCGCGCAGCGCCGTGACAGGAGTCGCAGCCCAGCGCGCCGGCCGCGGCTGCCCTCGGGCCCGCCTCCCCCGCCTCCCCCCGGGGGGCTCGGCTCCTCCGGCCGCGGCTCGGCTCCGCAGCGCCAGAAAACAACTCTCGGCTGGAGACAAACAGCCGAGAAACCCGAGCATTTGAGGCGCTCGCTCCGCACCGCGAGCTGCCGGCGATTGGCCCGGGCGGGCACGCCCTCCGGGCGCCGCACTCGGAAGACCACGGGCCTCGGACCCCGTCGCTCCGGGCTTCTCCGATCTGATTGGGCTCCTGCGTCCCCTTCTTTTTCCCCGCCCCTCTCCCCACCCACGCTGCTGATTGGCCCAGCAACTGCAAGCCCGGCTCGTGCCGGCCGGAGGACTCCGGATCCTGTCACCCGGGGTGGCTCTCGCTCCGCCCCCTCGGCCTCCCATTGGTTGGAGGATCCCTTACGTAAGGAGCACGAGGCGAAGGCGGAGCCTCTGGGGTTGTTTTTGCGGAGGCCGCGGCGGCGGTGGGCGCTTAGCTCTTTCAGGTAGGCGTAGTGGCTGTGCGGCTGCCTTGGGAACCAGCGGCCGCCCGCCTTCTGCCTCGGTCTCCGCTCGAGAGGCGGGAAGTGCTGGCCTGCGAGTCCGTTCAGTTCAGTGCGCGAAGGTCCTGCGGGAAGATCTCCGGCAGGTGGGCAGCCGCGCGGGCCTGGAGACTCGGCCTGCAGGACTGCGCGCTCGGCAGCACCCGGCAGCGTTCCTCTAAGCCAGGCTGCTCGGGGAGTCCGGCCTCTGATTCAGCACACCTGTTTCCGGGGCACCGAAGGACGCAGGTTTTGAGTTTTTAATGTTTTTCTTCTTTTTCTGAGTGGGCATGAGGAAACACGGGGCGAGAGAAGCGAATGAAGAAAAGCGTGAGCGGAAACTGTAAGTAATCGACCCTTCCATCTCTTGGGAAGAGGTCCTTAAGGACGGGTGCTGCTGGGAACAGATGAATGTTAAGGTCTTCTGCGAGGGGAAGGGGATTCTACAGAAAGGAAGAATTATTGTGATAGGCTTGCGTTTAGGAGCAGGTGATGCTATCCTCATCTGAAACCAATAGGTACAAAATAAAAGCTGTATTACTGATTTAAATAAGTGAGAAACGACTGTGTATTGGGCCACTAAATGAAATTTATTACTTTTTTTTTTTTGGTACTTGCTAGCTAATCAAAGTAATGCGAGATTAAGAGGAAATCCTGTGTTCTCAGAGTGAGCGTCTCAGCATTCTTTTATTCAGCGTCCAGCCTTTCCTAACACCCCTTCCCTGTGCTCTGCCTAAGAAGACTGCTGTATCCCCATCCTTCACCCGCCAAGTGCGAGTTGCACAGGGTAAGTTGAAGATCTGTTTTACACTCCACACTCTGGTCCCGTAGTTTGTTTACCAAGTACCAGACAGTGTTACCACCCACACATAGGTGATCATGCATGTACAGCACAGTGATGATAAAATGAGAAGAAAGTGGTAGATGGGTATGTTACAAGGGAAGGCACATCAGGTACACTGTAACGATGCAGGGGAATCTCCAGCATCTAGATAGTGTCTTTCTCTCATTAGCTACATGGTTGTTGGAGGCATATACAGTCAGAACATTCCAGTTGGTGAGTCAGATACACAGGTGGATAGTAAGCAGTGAATGAAAGGGTCTGCAAGAGGTAGTGTGAGCTTATTTTGTTTCTTGTTTCCCTCTTTCATGATGTTCTACTCAGCCTAGCTCAGACATGCTCCAGGGTCCTTCTACTGATGCAGGTTCTTCAGAGAACAGGAGTACACTGCACTTAACTCATTACAGATCAGCAGCACGTAGTTCTCATTCTGCGTGCTCTAGAGTGTAGTTCTCCAAGGCCTTTGGCTTTGTCCTATGAGAGGTCCTGCCAGTTTTATCATTATTTTGGCCACATCTCAAACTGCCTTTGGGCTGACTGCCTTTGGAGCATATGCCTTTTTTTTTTTTTTTTTTGAGGCTGAGTGGTTTGGTCCATGTTGTACTTTGAGCATGAAGTAGTGTGGGTCTAAGTTATGTTCTATGTTTGCATGTTGCTGCTGCTTTCCAGACTCTGCCTTTTGCACATCTTCTTAAATATATCCAACAGCAGCTTTTATTCAGTATGAACCTTCTCTTAGTGCTTGAAATAAGCTCATTAGCTGTAAGAATTTTGGTGCACTCCTGTTGTAGATTCATAAGGTAAGTATCATCTCCAAATTGCTGTAGCAACAGTTTTATCAACTTTATGTGCCTCATTTATTGATTGTCAGTGTCTGATAAACCTTTTCTTGTGATGCCCAGACCAGTTTTGAGCTCTATTTGGCTGCCAAGCCAGTGTTGTAGAGTTTCTGTTAAGGCTGCTCATTTCTAGCTTGTGTACAAGTGGACATACTAGTTTATGCTTCAGAAGTAGCCCCTCCAGTCTTGACCACTTAACATTTTACAAGATTTCTTCCTTGAGCTCATTACACATTAGCTAGGGGGTTCTCTGTGCTGTGTTCATGCTGACACAGTAGCTACCATTTTTAGCATCTCTGGAAATAAAGCCTGCTTGCCACATACTGGTTGTTGAAATTGTGGCTTGCCCCCCCCCCCCAACACACACACACACAGTGAAGTCCTGAGGTATCAAACAACTTCAGCAGAGGTAGAATGAGGAAGCTCAGTTAAGCCTTATACTTGTGAAGAGGACTGGACCAGAGATCTGCCACACCCAGAGAGCCAGGTCACTTTTTTCCGATGGTTCTCATCAGTTGTGTGTAGATTTTCGAAGCATCAAGCCCTTCTTTTTAGTACCTTTTCTAGTTCCTGGAGGGAAAAGTCGCTATTTTCTGTATTTTTGTTTTTGCTCTGGGCTTGCTGATAGCTTTCCCACTCACATTCTCTGTCCTGTAGTTAAAGACCTTTGTTCAAGGAGGGCAAGCCTGTGAACGAGTGGTTTTTATTTTCCATGCGTGGCTTTGTCCATTTTTTTGTAGCTGGATGGGTTAGATTAGAAAAATAGAAGCTATGAAAGGTTTATTTACATGAAAATAAAAGGTGAACAACTGTAAGATCTGAAGAAAAAAGAGCGTAGTAATTTTAAAAATTTATATTTATTACAGTTTATTCACTTTGTATCCTGGCTGTAGCCCATCCCTCATTCCTCCCAGTCCCACCCTCCCTCTCTCTTCTTCCCCTGTGCCCCTCTCCTAGTCCACTGATAGGAGAAGACCTTCTCCCCTTCCATCTGACCCTAGGCTATTAGTTCTTATCAGGACTGGCTGCATTGTCTTCCTCTGTGGCCTTTCAAGGGTGCATCCCCCAGGGATAGGTGATCAGAGAGCCAGCCACTGTTCTCCTTACTAGCCAATAGGCATCTCAGTCTCTATGTGGGTTCCCTAGTAAGGGGAGCATAGTAACTTTTAAAATAAAAATGAGATGCTTTATTTAAAGACGTGATGCTAGCCAGGTATGATTGCAGCTCATGCCTGTAATCCCAACATTCTGGAAGCTGAGGCAAGATAGTCACCATGAGGCCAAGGTAGGTTATGTAGTAAGACTATGTCTGAAAAAGCCAAGAAAAGAAAAAAAGAAATGGTTTTATGGGTTTCAGAAGTTGTTTTCTTTAGAGATAATTGCTCTCAATTGATAATCATTGTTTTGGTATCAACTTAACTATTTTCAATAACTTTGGCTTTTGGTGTTATGAAATTTATTAAGCCTTCTATCCCCCCTTTCACCCTTTGCACTTCCTTACTTTGTGTCTTCTTATCAATTCAACTTTGGTTATTATAGTTTTAGTTCCAGCAGAATCCACATACTCTGTGATCTAAGTCATTTTTTAAACATTTATTTATTTATTTAACTATTTATTTATTTATTCATTTTACATCCTAATCATAGCCCCCTCCCTTTTTTCTTCCCCCTCTCCCTGCCCTTATTCATCAGAAAGAGGGAACCCCACCCACCCACCCACCCTAGCTCATCAGGATTGAGTGCATTTTTTTCTCCTGGAGGCAACCCTTCTAGGGGCAGTGATCAAAAAGCAGGCAACAGAGTCCATGTCAGAGACAGCCCGTGCTGTAATTTTTAAATAATCAGATATTATCAAAATGATTAAGAAATGATTGATGCATTCCTGTCTTTGGTTTCTAACTGGTAATTGCACAGCATCTTCACACATGTGTTCTCACTTGTCTGGTTACATAGAAGTTCTCTAAAGTTTGCTTTGGATATATAGTTAAACCTTTGGAGCTGCAAGGCACACTATGGGGAGAGGAACAGTGTGTCAACTCTAATGTCCAGTTTAGGCTAAAGTAATTGAATTGTAGCATCAAGACAAGGAAATAATTGATGTTTGGTCTTTCAGTTGTGATTTAACCTAATACTTTGCAGTTTAATTGGGTTATTGTTATTTTGTATAGTAATGAATGCTGTATGGTTACTCCCTTAGCCACAGAAATAATGCCGTTTCTTCCATACTACAAAGAAAATAGTGAGTGACCTATTTTAAAACATTTTCCTCAATATAAATCAGCCCTGAAATAGGTTGCTTACAATGGTGAGAACGTATAATCAATTTTAATTTCAAAGATACCTCTTAATGAGGTACCATTAAGATAACATTTTTATGTGGCTTGTACAGCTCTCAGTTTTTATTTTATTTTGAGATTTTTAACATAACTCAGAATTAAAAACTGAGGATGTATTTGTTCAGTGATAGCAACCTAGTCTAATGAATTTCAGAAGTATTAAGTAATCCATGAATCATTAGTTTCGTTCTCTCTCTCTCTCTTTTCAAGAACACCTGCTTCAGGGAGAAATATCTTGTTGATATCCTTGGATGACAGGAGCATATAGCCAGTGCTTTATGATCTTTATGAAGTTGTTATCTTACTCTTTGCTGAAATTTTTTGCCCATACTTTTAGGATTATATAGAAATAGTCTTTGCTGTTTTCATTACCTATTTTAAAGTAGTGATCTTGTATTGGAAATATAGAGGTCCTATTGCAGATTAAAAGATAAAAATTCTCATCTATATCTGAGTGTACTTTTGCTTTCTGTAAATATGGTATTTTTATGTTAACTTAATTTACCTAGGGGCTGGGAATGTACCTCTGGTAAAGTGCTTGCCTAAGCTATCTTCTTTTAAACTTTTACAGTACAGGTCAGCAGGAGAAAAACTCCCAGAGTCGTTTACAAAAGCTGAAAATTGCAAACTAGCAGACAAAACTGACAGTAGGCCAAGAAAGAAAGTGATAAGAACACTAAGGTGACAGGAGGATGGATGCCTAGACCAAACTGGCTTCAGAAAGTAGGACTAGACCAGTCAGTTGAGAAAGAGTATAGTGTATAAGCAGTGTAAATAGTATGTCCTAAGCATTAAAGTGGGCATGTGTTCAGAAAGAATGCTCTTGTATAATATGACTAGATAAATCTCTTGCAGAGATTTCTTGCAGAGATTTAATAGGTAGTAAACCCATAGCAGACTTTGCATGTCTTGTTTCTAGCCAAATGGTGTTCAGCAGTTGCTGGAGTATTTGTTGTACACTAGCTGTAAATGTGTAAAACAAAATGTCCAATTTTAAGAATGGGTTGAGCCAGGCTTGGTGGTATAGGCTTGTACCTCCAGCTGCTCAGGAGACTGGGTCACGAAAATCATAAGTTCAAGGCCAGCTTCAACAGCTGAGTGATACCTTGGCTTAAAAAAATAAGAAAGCTGGGGTTAAAGATCTGTGGTAGAGTGCTTGCCTAGCTTGTACAAGGCTTTGAGTTAATTATCGAACACAATAAATAAAATAAAAATGAATAAAAAATTAGATAATATTTTAAGTCAATTTTAGAATGTTGAAAAATGTCAGTTTAACATTTTAGTAAATAGCTGTGAAGCTTAAGCATTTTGTACATTTTTGATATCTCTTGCAGTTATCAAAAATTAAACTTAGAGGTAGGTATGGTAGTGCATGCCTGTAATTCCATCACTCAGGAGGTAGAGGCAGGTGGATCTTTGTGAGTTTAAGGCTAGTCTGGTCTATAAAGCAAGATTTCAGGACACATATGTGGCTACACATACAGAAATCCTGTCTTGAAAAACCCAAACCAAAACTAAAACAAAAAATTAAACCAAGTATGGTATTAAATGACTAATCCAAGCCCTCAAAAGGCAACAAGTGAGTTCAAACTAGAACCTGTCTCAAAACACCAAACACAAAATGAACAACAACAAAGTACACATGCACACTCAGCCCTCTCCAAGGCCTGAGAAATGTAGTCATCTTAGTGATACAGTACTTCCTTAAACCAACAATGCCCAGCACTGTGAAAATATGAAATGAAACAAAAGTATCATCAATTCAGCGTTCTTATATGTCATTCCCCCTCAGAATTTCTTTCTTACTAGAAGGAAACAAAGTTCTAACAGAATCAAGGAATGTAGGGATTTAACCAAATTCATCTGGTATCTTTAACTTCCTTCATTTAACAAATTCATCTAACAGAATTTGTTGATCTACTACTCTGTTCCAGGTATCGCTTCAGCCAGTACAGCACAGCAGTGAGGAAAACAGATGTGTCTCCTGGCACACACATCCAGCTACAGCTTATGATGTCTTCTGGCTTCAGTGTGTTTAGAGCTGGGGTTGCATTGGTTTTTATGTGCAGTTTTTACAAGTCAACTGAAGACTCTCTCCCAGAATTGAGTCCTCAGCAATTTTTCAGCACACTGCAGCCAGGAAAAGCCTCATTAGCTTATTTTTGTCAAGTTGGTAAGTATCTCTTAAAAATTTGTACGTGACTCTTTTCACTGAGGTCAGCATACTTGTGGGAACTTTGTGTTGGTTGTAATAATAGGTGCTATAATGCTGTTTCTCTGTTCTGCCTGCTTGGGCGGATCCAGAGCACCCATGCTTTCCGCTGTTTCTTTCCTCAGCTGCTATGATGTAGTCGTGATTGCATTCTAAATTTAGTATGAGGATTAAATGGGTTTACACACATGCTTGCTTTATAATTAACATTACTTCAGGGTTACTGACATGCCATTTGAATTTTATGTAGTCCTTTATGGAATATGTTTTCTTATTCTTTTATTTACCGTGTAGCTATTTTAGCAGTTTTATAAAAACTGGATATGTAGTTTTAGCAATGATTTAACTTAGTATTCTACATTCTGCTTTGGCTTTGTTATTAATTATACTGAGTTAATTAACATGGCTGTTGAGCATACTTGTGATGGTTTCATTTAAGTCCTCATGCCAGTAACAGTACAATTGTATTGGAATTATCAAGATGAGTTCACCTCTCTAGTCATTCTTTAATTGTAGTTGTGATTTGGTATTCTAAAATCAGTTCGAAAGTTTTGTATGTGTTTATAAGTATGCTGTGTATACGGTATTAAACTTGGAGGAATAGTACCACATTAGATTTAAACTTATAAAAAAACAGGTTTTGCATTTTATTATGACTGGATTGTCACAAAGTTCCATATTGTGTATTCTATTAAGGTAACATTGCAGTGGCTTTAGTTTTTATCAGGAAGAATGACAGACAAATCCTCATTCCAACTCCACTGCTAACTCTGATGGCTGGGTGCTTAACAGAATGTGGTTGCTTTCTTTAGCTCTGTGTGGCCCCTACTTTGCTTTCAGTCTTCCTGTACGAAATCTCTCTGGTCTGGTGGGACTTCCAGTTCTCTGCAAAAGGAAAGAGCTCTGTTTCAGATAACCTGGGAAATAGCACAGTGTGTTTGAGTTGAGAGGGGCATTTGACAGGCTTAGATCAGGGCACCATTCCCATGTGATCAGGGCTAAGAAAAGAGCAACTGTGTGCTGTAGCATCTTAAGGCCTCCATATATATTGTTCTCTTTTTCATACTCATCTTCAGAAGCTGCATCCCCTTCACTGATCATGGCATTCTGGTACTCAGACACCAGGTTGTTCATGTTACTCTTGGTCTCAGTGAACCCATCTCGCCCATGCCCTTGCCCTTGTGACAGAGAAGTGCTTGGAGACAGAGTTGGGTAGCTCCTGAGTGGCAACACTGTTGCCAATGAAGGTGGAGGCCATCTTTAGGCCCTGTGGCAGGATGTCATACATGGTCACCTCGTGTTGTTGGGTATCCACTCTAAAAAGTAGCTGCTGTTCTTGCTGTGGATGGCCAACATTGGCTTGTCTACCTCCTTAATAGATGGGGCTCCAGAAATGATGGCAACGGTCAGGTAGCAGCTGTGGCCTGGTCACAGGTGGCCCTCATGTTCTGTTCCCCAGTTTGCACAGATTGGTGTTTCGCTGACCAGGGTGGGGACAGGTATATGTGCACGCAGTGATGTGGTGACACGGCCCATGGTGACAGACACCAACATGTGTTTGAGGTTCTTACAGGTTCCTGTAGGGGCGGGTAGCTTGGGCCTGCCAAAGCAGATGTGATAGAGGGCCTCATTGTCACTGTTGAATCAAGAGGTCTCATCAGTGATCTCCGCTAGCTAGTGCACCAATAACGTGGCGTTGTAGGACTCCGTCATGATGTTCAAGACCTTGGGTGACCACATGAATCTAAAGGTGTTCAGGTTGTCTGGGCACTCCTCTCAGATCTTGCTGATGAGCAGTATGCCCTTGCCAGAGCCTGTGCTGCTGCCTAGGGAGTGCATGAGCCGGAAGCCTGCAGGCAGTCTCAGTCCACTCCTTTGTAGTAGCCGTTGGCCCAGTTGTTCCCAGTGAAGATAAAGTCAGGCTGGAAGAGCTGCGCCAAAGGCCCAGACCTCACATTTCCATGGTGCCTAGCTCAAGTCCATCAAAGCAGCCTGGGCACATACTCTGAGAGAAGGTCTCATGTAGTACACACTGATCTTCTCCAGCTGCAGTGCTAAGTTGCCCTCATGGCCTCCAGCTCATCAGTGATCACTTCCCAAAACTTGGGACCCATCTGGTTTCTGCACCGGCCTGCCTGGCTGTGCACATTCTTCCTCTTGGCAGGGCATCTGCGCTGGGGCGCTGGCTCTTCTGACAGTGGCATGACACAGACTTATTATTTTTTTAAGATATGCTTTAAGTAAGTTTTTAAAGTAACTTACAAAATTAAACTACACTGTAATAATAGAAAGAAGAATAAATAAACAACAGGAAAATGTGTGCCTGAGTATGTTTATTTGTTTTGAAAGCTAGTTATACAAATAATTAAAAATTTTATGTGTTCAGATTTTCTTTTAATTTTAAATATTCATCTTTTAAAAGAGAAAATTCACAAATATTCATTCAACATTTCTTGTTTTAGGTTCTCTAAGTAACTCTGTGTTTCTTGAAGAACTGAAGGAAGCCATTAGACCACTCCAGGACTATGGGATATCAGTCGCAAAGGTAGACAGATACATATGTTGATAAAATATTAGTGACACATATTTACAACACTGCATATCTGAAAACACATTAGCTTCATAACTTTATCCGAACTGAGAAAAAAAAGTGTTTTTATTTTTTTTTGCTTTCTTACCTAAGTTTAAGTAAAAGCACAGAAAAATAGCTTCAGACGAGTGTATAATATTGCATGGAGAGAGAGAAAGCTGGTTAAATCCCTCAGCTGTGAGAATTTAACTGCATTTTGCAACTTACTCTTCCCCAGTATTTTCAGCCTGTGGGTAGGGTTTTGTTCTTTTTTTGTCCTACAAATATTTCACAACAGTTATAATTCAGCTGTTTATTAAGTTTCTATTCATATAAGTGAAGGAACAAAATGAAGGTAATTTAAATTTTTTTCTGGGCTACTCTGTTTTTTTACACTGCTATAGTTTGGGACATTTTTAGGATAAATTAAAGCAAGGCAATTTGAAGATACATTTTTTTTTTTCTAAAATGTTCAAAGTTGCCATGGAGTTCTGTAGACATATGTATTGGATTAAGTAACATCTAAGACTTCCATTTAATTTAACATGAGAAGTCCCCCAGTGTTGGTAGTTCTTTTAGATTGGTGTCCGCTGGCTTTTTGTATATATTTATTCATTCTCAGCTCAGCTACTACCTTTCTCCCAGAGATGACTGTTGTCTTTCTCTCATCTGCGGCCACATTTCCTAGGCAGGAAGTTAGGACACACTATATGTACATTACAAAAACCCAATCAGACTACAAACTCCATGTTTTAAGTGTGTCAGTTTTGTATGTAATGAGACTTGGTTTACTTTGAACAACTGAGTTTATTCAAGAGTGTTACATGAGCACTCATCTCTCATGAACTCTGGATAAAATTTAGGCTTAAGTTTGGAAATTTTGGGTTAGGGATGCTCAGTGGTTAGGAGTTCCATTGCTTTTGCAGAGGACCTAGTTTAGTTCCCAACACCTACATGGCAGCTCAGTCATTGCAGGGAATCTGATGCCCTCTTCTGGCCTCTGCCATCACCAGGCACACATGTGGTACACATACATATATACAGACACTTATGGACATATTCATATACTATTCATATTCATAGTATACATATTCATATACTATTATGAAATAGTAATTACGTATGATACTGAAAAGCATGACCATGCCGTTTATCTAGTAAAAGATAGAGAAGAACCTAGAATTGTGTATATCTAGCAACTGCAAGAGAATATTAGGGTCTCTGCTTAGGCTGTCATTGTTACTGACATTTTGATTTTATGGTTGAGAACACTTGAGTAAAACTGAGAGAAGGTTGTAATCACAGGCCCATGCTGAACATTTAGCTCAGTCCTTGCCATGTAAGAAATAGTAAATATTTACGAGAGTGAAATGAGCTTACTATGTTAAGTGTTCTTTAAATGACAAAGACCTAACCCTTTCCTTTGGAAAGGATACATTGTAAATATGGGCATACATCACATTTACCCATCATGTTAGTAAGTAGAAGAATATAATTATACTAAGGGATGTATAAATCCAGTCCCATGTTAGACAAACATAGGCTTGTTTTTGAGTGTTGATGGGGAAGAACAACATTTAAGAATGTCCTAAAAAATTAAGATTGACAGACAGGTAGATGAAGGAAACACCATAATATAGATGTCTTTTTGTGAGTGTGTACACTGAGTTTAATTAGAGTTGCTTGAATGATGATGAACCGGGGGTTAGTTAGTGAAGCATCTTACTAGTGGTTACACCATTAAAGAAAAGGACTGCTTCTACCTTGGCCACTACTAGTTGCCAATAGCTTCTCCATGATGGGTGGAGCTAAAATATAAGTGGACTAAGTATTCCAGTTAAGATAAATATTCTCATGGCCAGCTCTTTGATCACCTACCTCTGGCAACGTGGCCTAACTAAGCCACAGAAAAAGAGGATCCAGATAGTCCTGATGAGACCTGATAGGCTAGGGTCAGATAGGAGGAGGACCTCCCCTATTAGTGGACTAAGGGAGGGACATAGGGGGGAAGGGGAGGGAGGGTGGAACTGGGGGGAGATGAGGGAGGGGCTACAGCCAGGATACAAAGTGAATAAACTGTAATAAAAAAGAAAAAAATTTAAAAAAGATAAATATTCTCAGCCTGGAAAAAGTAACCATATCCAGCTTTATGCTATTTAAAAATGTCTAAGATAAAGGCTTCATGCAATTTTAAGGTAAATGAAGGAAAAAAATATATTATACAAATGATAACCAAAAATAAAGTTTTCTTTTGACTGTCAGAGTTGGTTTTAAAACAAAGCAAAACAAAACCAAAAGCCCTTTAGTCATATTTGACTTTTCTTTCTCTCATAATTAGTCCATGGTCCGCTAGCCTCTATTTTTAGAAAATTTCAAGCTCAGCTACTCTTGTACCAGTCTTACTCTGCTGGTTGTCCTGTCATTGAGGGATCACAGTGCTGACCTAGGACGGCCTGTTCCCTTCACTCATCCTACTACCGACTCCTCTGTGTGTGAGCAGATGTGTCCAATGATAAGCTTTCTATTGCAGTCACAGTAAATCAAAGCTGGAGTGTCACAGAGACTGCCTTCTCCGTGGCTCACTCTCTGTCTTCTACCTTGTTGATGTTCCTCAGCCATACAGTTCATTTTTCTGTTCCTTGAGCCTGCTGCAGATGTTTTTACCCCATTTACACATTTTTATATTTATGTCTCCCTTCAGTTCTTAGTGCCAGTGTCACCTTCTCAGAGAAGGCTTCCTTGATTATCTATTTTAAATGCTCTTCTGTCCCTTTACTGTTTTTATGCATTATACTTAGCTTTATATATTAATTACTTAATGTTTATACTTTTAAAATTAAGTCCAAAATAAAGCTTCTTATTTGGGACTTAACTGTATCCTGAGTGCTTAACATAATGGTAGGTCTTCAGACTAGAATTAAAGAAAGCATAGATCTCTTGTCATAACACCAGTCAGTCCTATAGGTTGGACTTTAAAATTAAAAACCTATCTGCACTAAAGTTATTTTGGTTATAGCTGACCTAATTCTAATTTTCTGTTCCTTATATCTTTCCTGTCTGTTCCCCTTTTATAATTTTTTTAAACATTTGTTCCGCAGATTTCATTGTTTCCTCAAATTCTGTATGAATAAATTAAACTAACAACAACAAAAACCCCATTCCATCAAAGCAAATTCAGAAGAGAATAATTGTGTCTCCAGCTTTTGTTTCGGTTAGTTACATTGGTGGCCATTTATTTCCCTAGCTGGAAACGTGTCTATTCTCCTCATGGCTTTCTTCTGTGTGCTGATATGTGTACACACTCTTCATAGTTTTTTTTTCCCCCTGAATTTGTGATCAGCTTCTAAGTCTTCATGGCTCTTCTCCAGGTCCAAGTCCTTGGTCTGATTTTGGACCCCGTCACCTTCCCTCTTATTTTCTTGACTAGTCTCAGGCATTAGCCCTCATAAGTTTGGGTTGTGAGCAGTCAGGGCTTGGTGTGGCTGCTTCAGCATGGAACACTTGCTTATTCTTTCTGTTGCACCACTTTAGCAAACAGTGTAATGGTGCCCATGCTGGTGACTGTCATTGTTTCCCTAGTACTCTTACTGAGAGATAAGCCTAAGTCTCACTTTGAGAAATGTCAGTGGATACCACCCAGTGACCTCTGCCAATGCCATGTGTACCCTGTGGCCACTCTGACCTGCTGTGGGCCTAAAAAAGTTTTCTAAAGGGACACTTCATTTTTTTCAAAGCAAGAGTAGGTTAATAAAAGTAAAGGGTTGATGTGCTTGAGTTAGGAAAGCAGCAGAGCCGCCACACTGTGTGAGCTGCCACACTGTGCTCAGGCTTTCATGGACCCACCTTAAGTTCACTCTTTCTGCTAAGTATTTCACCTCCGAGCTCCACCCTCAGCCTCTGCTCTTTGGTTTTCTTTCATGGTTTCATCTTGCCTTAAGCATTTCCTTACTGTTTTACTTCCTTACCTCCTGATTGTTTTGCAAAATTCAGTTAAATATGAACTTGTGGAACATTAAATATCACTTTGAGTTGTAGAGAACTGTTGCTTTTGCGGTTTCCTCAAGCGCATGAGTGAGTAGTGAAAGTGTAAGTCAGAAAAAAATGAGATATTTAACCTGGAGATAGGCTGTAATGTTTGATTCTACTTGTTTGACCTTGTGATGCATACCTTTAAACTGTAAATATAATCTTTTGAAGGTTAATTGTGTCAAGGAAGAAGCGTCAAGGTACTGTGGGAAAGAAGAGGGTTTGATGAAAGCATATTTATTCAGGTAAATTCTCTTTGGAGTGTGATAAACTACTACAAAGCGAGAGTTTTAGACTATGTAAGAGTATGTAACATATCACTGAGCCAGAATAATGTGATCTTTACTGGGGTCTTGGAAAGTTTAGTAGATATTTTAAGGAATACATTTGCCATTTTGAGATTTAATTTTCGTCTTTACAAAAGCAGGGGAGTTGAGTACTCCCTGAGACTCCCAGTTCCTACTTAGAACGTCTGTTAAGAAGTGCAGAGCAGACAGTGTTCTGAGTGGCTCTGCCAGCTCCGTTTTGGGAATCTTTTTCCTCTTGAGGGGTCTGCTGGTGTCTCCATACTGGTTCCTCTACCTTTGAGTCTTTTTTGAGGAGTTGCATGTACTTTCAAATCCTGGAGATAGGGCCTGGGAAGTAAAGAGAGAGCCTGTTTGCTCAGGAAACTTTTCTCTCATCTGTTTCTTTTCCAAGACAATTTGGAAATCTGTGTGTCATGGGAATGTTATTGAGTCTCTTTTGGAATTGTTTCCCAGTACTTTTTATCAAGTATAGGCCCTTGGTTTTTCAAAATAAGCATACTTACTTGAGTTCATACACAGTATATATTTGGGTATATGTAACCAGCACTCTGCTAGGTGTTTGGGTACACAGATACTAATAACAGGCTCTAACAACAAAGAATTTAATGTATTTGATGGTCAAGCAACTCGTGGCGTAAGGAGATACTTGCATAACGTGCTCTTAAAACTTTTTCCAGAGGCAACATACTGCTCAGAGAGTTCCCCACTGACACCTTGTTTGATGTCAATGCCATCGTTGCGCACGCTCTCTTGTAAGTACAGGGTGTGCTCATTTGCTTGTTTATCGATGATTTCACTTTTGAGACACACAGATCTTGGAGATAGTTTAGATAGTTAGATATTTTAGATCTTCATAGGCAAAAGTTTTATACACATCACTGGTTTATCATCCCATTAAGGACCTAAATTTTCTTCAGTGGCGAGGAATACAGGAATATGTGCTCTGCATGAAATGAGTTCTAACTGGACCCGATCGATGATTATACAGTTGCTCTTGGTTTGTGAGTGCATTGACTGTTTACTAGGTAGATGCCTTAGTCTGTCTGGGTTCCTGTAGTGAAATCCACAGATGAGGCGGCATAGAAAGCAGAGTTTTATTTTTCACTGTTTGGAGGCTGGAAGTCCAGTGTCGGATTACTGTGGATTTGGTGTCAGATGAGGTCTGCTCTTCATGGAAGACTACTCTCCTTATGTCCCCTCATAGCAGAAGGAACCTGCATATCTGCGCTTTCTTTTTAAGGCTGTTGTGGGGTGTCCACCAGAGAAGACTGCTTGGACATGGCTTTAAGCCAATGGAAAGTGTGTCTTAGCTGGCCAGCGACTATGTTGGGTGTTGTGATCCTAGTATAGCACCAAGCCTTTCTCAGGGTGAGCTTTTAAACACAAAAATCATGTTCTGGGTTGACATACTTCACTTAACAAGGTCAGTTAGCAGAACTCCAGAAGCCAAAAAGTGAGGTTAGTACATTTAGAGACTTTCTCAGAGATATGGATTTTGATTGATTAAGTCTTTGTTTTTTGTTTCGGTGGTTGGTGCTGTCTACATGCTGAGTATTATAGCCTGAATGTTACTTCCTTCATGAAGTCAGTTGTGCTAGGGTTTCGGGGCCTACTAAGGTCTAGGGGTCTGTTACAAGGCTATTAATCTCATTCATAACAGATCTACTTTGATGATGTAATCTTCCCTCTGAACACTACCACTTTGGGGTAAGTGTCATCTCAGGAGACACTCACTCCAGGTGGTAGGTGGTTGCAGTTAGCTGCTCACGTTTGCTGTTTTCCTTATTAATTTTTAATTTTTTTTCTTTTTTGTTTTGTTTTGTTTGAGACAGGGTTTCTCTGTGTAGCTTTGGCTTTCCTGGACTTGCTTTGTAGACCAGGCTGGCCTCCAACTCACAGTGATCCCGCCTGCCTCTGCCTCCCTGTGTGCTGGGCTTACAGGCGTGCACCACCATGCCTGGCTTTCCTTAGGATTTTTAAGGTACTTTGTGTCCTTCTAACACTAGCCTGATTTTTCTAGAGTTTACAGTTGTGTGCCTGCTTGGTCAGTGCAGAAAGAGTCATGGGAGTGTTTATTGAGAGCAACTCTTTAGTTCCCTGGCGTGAAACTTCCAGGCCTGGGATTCAGGCTTACTGGGTTCTGTTTCTGCAGTAAAAATCTGATACATGTAATTCTTTATTTTTGCCACAAAGCTGGAAAATACGACAATTACAGGGGTTTTTCCAATTACACAGTGCAGGTCTGCTGCTCCTTAAGGCACTTGCCAACATTATTTTCTCTTGGCTTCCCACTTCTTTCCTACCTGCAAAATTAAGTGAAAGTTAAGATTTAGAAAATTGAAAACTTATAGGTGCAAAGTTGTAATTATCACTCTACAAATGGATACTTTTAATTGTTCAGTCCTAGTAATTTATTCAAATATGAAATAGGAAAACTTCTGGATATTTATGACAGCCATGAGCTCTGTCTTAGTTAGGATTAATTACTATTATTTGTGACAAAACACAATGACCAAAAAGGAAGTTGAGGAAGAAAGGGTTTATACTGCTACTGTTTATCATTGAAGGAAGTCAGGACAGGAACTTAAATAGGGGTGGAACCTGGAGGCAGGAGGTAATCAGAGGCCATGGAAGAGTGCTGCTTCCTGGCTTTCTCCCCATGGTTTGCTCACTATTGATCACTCATTAAGAAAATTCCCTACAGTAGGGTTTTAGGGAGGCATTTTCTCAATCGAGGTTCCCTCCTTTCAGATATCACTAGCTTGTGTTAGGTTGACATAAAAGTAGCCAGGACAAGCCCTAAGGCTAGTTAATGGGTGAATGATGACATTTTTTAATTTTGGGAAATAGTTTATTGAGATATAATTTACTATTCAACTTACTTAAAGTCTATAATTCAGTAGTTTTTAGTATATTTACTGATGTACACAACCATCACCATAGTCAATTTTAGTTTTCTCACTTTAGAAAGAACCCTGGCCCATTAGCTCCCATCTTTCTCTGTCTCACCTCTAAAGAGGCCCCCATATACTTTGTCTCTGTAGTTTCCAGTTCTGGATATTGAATAGTGCCCTGAGCTGCATCCTGAAAGATGGCCTTGTGAAGAAGGGGTCACATGCAGTACAAAAAAAAAAAAAAAAAAAAAAAAAAAAAAAAAAAAAAAAAAAAAAAGGCCAAAGTAGAAGACAAGCTACTGTTTTCAGAAAGTTACCAGTTCTGCTGTTATCTTCTTGCAGTAGATGTCTGATAACAATCTTGAACCCAGAAATGGGGGTGAGGAAAAAAGAAACATAATTGTTTAAGGGACAGGGAGCACTAAGGTTGCCCTTCCTTAAAGTACGAATCCAGGTTTGGCACCAGATTTCAGAATGGGTCTACACTAGACAACCTCATGGCCAGGTGTTTGAAAGACTTGGACTCTAGATCAGGAGAGGCTGTGGGTGTGGAGGAGCAGCTTACCTGATGTGCTTAGCTGAGGAGATTGTTCTCCTGTTGTGGTAGTGCTGCATTCCTGTTGCTGACTTAGAGAACATAGAACTTCCTAAGTTCAATGAAACACTGCCAGTTTTAGCATAGACTCAAGTGTGTACTAGGTGGCTCAGGTAACATGCATTGGCATCGCCTGGAGTGTTGACTTTCTCAGTGCAGAGTGCATGTGAACTGCAGCTGCAGTGAGGCAGTGAGCACTCCCAGAAGCACCTGACTTTGTTGTGGGTTTCGTTTTGAATTCGTTTTTGTTGGCTTTTAGAAACATTATTATTGGTAAAGTTTTCATGATCTTCATGTTCAGGTACTCAAGTCCATATCCACAGTTGGAAAGCTTGCTTCAGACTAGCTGTGCTCAATATGCACAGCTGTGTTCAGTGCCCATTTTCCTGCTTTTTTTTCAGTTGTTCATTTTTGAGATTATAATTTAATTAAAACATTTCTCCCTTCCCTTTTTCTTCTTCTATTATCTCCTTCAAATTCATGGTCTCTCCTTATTACTAATTGTTATTACAAACATATATATATTTATATGTACACATATATTCCTAAATATAACCTGTTCAGTCCATATAATGTTACTGATTTGGACATCTGCATTTTTGAGGCCTCCTTATTTCAGACCTTGGCTAAGTTAGGTGCTTTTGCTAAGAAGTTATCAGCAGTGCTTGGTACAGTTATTTTCAGGTGTTTTTTTTTTTTTTTTTTTGTTTTTTTTTTGGTTTATTTTGAATTACTTCTATCACTTTCCCATTGCTCCTGCCTCTCTGGACCGTGGGCAAGGCATTGGGGAGCCCTTTTGGGAGAAGATTGCTTGTGTCTTTACCATGTGCACCTGGCTGTTGATTGTTAGAATTGCAAACATTGTGGACTTGGTGTGTTTCTTTATGCCACAGTAAGCGAATACATTTTTTTTTTCTTATTCTCTCACCCCATTACCAATGTGTAGAGATTGAACCCAGGGAAAAACTTGCTTTAAGCAAGTTTGTTTTTGTTTTTAAACCACTGAGTATCCATCCCTAATTAGAGTCTCCATTATGACTTTGAATTTGGCTTATTATCCTGATAAACCAACACAAAACCCAACCAGTTTCAGTACATGTACAAACTGCTCTGTGGCCATTGGCCATTAGCTCTAGGAAAGCAGAGCAAAGAAGTGGTTTTCTTTTTTATGCTTAGATACGAAAATAACTGGGCTTAGCAACAGTTAATTCAGCATCCGCAAAGCTACAAACTTAGCTTAATCTTAATTTCTTTTTCTTCCTGCCCACTTTATATTGCCCAGGTCAATCTGATCGCCATCTATAGCGCATAAGGACAAAAAGCCATTTACAGATGCTGACACTTTAACAGTCTCAGGTAGCTGCAAGAAACTGCAGCCCCTGACGAGGACAGCTAGTATTGTGGACATAGGTCATCTTGGGGACATTTAGGGCAAAAGCACTGAAGGTAAAAACAAACAAACAAACAAACAAACAAAAAAAAAAAAAACAATGGAGGAAAGAAAGTCGAGAAGTATAGAAATCAGAGAGGCAGTTCATTCTTGCTTTGAATATAGTAAAGACTTGTGGAATACAGTATTGTATAACATTTTCCAATGGTTATATTTAAATACCAGCCAACTAAACCAAATATCATGGCAGTACCTTGCAGATTGCTATGAAAAAGAATATGCTTTTTCAATTTGTCATTCTATTTTTGTGGGCTAAAACCATCAGTATAAAATAGTCAGTGCACAGCAAGGAGCCTTTTGCTGTGTCACACACTTTGTATTTGCACAGTGATCATAATAGAACTGAATTATTGCTTAATGTTTTTTGACCACTTTTCTACTGCATTTTAAACTTGATTTTTTAGGCCATTTCTCTTATGGAAAGGAAGCAGAATTTCTTTTGAAATTTGTATGCTCAAATTTATCTCTTTTTTGACTTTGGGCTTTAAGCTGAAAAATTGTCTTCCTTATGCCATTGTTACAGAGAAATTCAGTCATTCTGAGGTTATTCAGTTGATACACTGTTTAAAGCTATAAGAAATCTCTATTGAAATGGTAGCACAGAGAGTTTCCATGGTTTTCCTAGTAACACTTGCATTAGCTGATATAATTAGTGAACCAGTATTAACTAAGCACAGGTGTTCACACTATGTTGTGCATAATGCTTCTACCACAGTCATGCGTAACAGTTTCATTGCTCCAAAATTCTATCCTCTGTCACGACTGATACATTTTTTTTTCTCAATTTTACTCTTCTCTCATATATTACACCCC